TTTCATTCTGTTTTCTCTTCCTTCACCGAAATTATGAGAACAATATGTTCAGATAGAAATTTCTCAAGCAAATTGCAGCATTACAGCTAATGTTTGAATTGACTAATCGAGCACTAGCCATTCTCGGATATCTCATTCTGAAACTGATTTCTATTGAGATTTAGGCTTCGTTTGGACGACTTTCTTACTGCTTCTTAAAGCAGTTTTTTAGTAAAAAATTTAAATTTTTTACTAAAAAACTGCTTTACTAAAAAATTGCTTTAAGAATCAATAAAAAAAAATCGTCCCAAATGATAATCTTGGAACAAAATTAGAATGATGCAGCAATTCTCAGCTTGTCCAATGTGAAATTCTTGGCTTTCAGGAAACTTTAGCTTGCTTTGAACAACTGAAGATCTTGCAATGACTGAGTTGAGCTTCATATTTGACAATACATAACTTAATGAACAATAACAAAATTAAAATCCTTACTTAGAATAGGTTTAAGCTCTGTAAGAAAAATGCACAATATATTTATTTGCAAATCATGCGTTGGATGAATTTTCATGACTTAAAAAATTATATATAATTTTTAAATTTCAAAATTCTAAAATTCCAACTACAAATTTTTTAGACCAAAATTATATATTTCTCCTCTCTTCTCTCCTTTGCTAATGAAGTTTAATCTCAGGATCATCTTTCATCTATCCAAAAAGTTGAAATTGATTGAGTAAGATCTTTCTTTTCCATCCTTGAATAAGCAATCTTAGGCTTCGTTTGGGACGGCTTTTTTATTGCTTTCTAAAACAGAGTTTTAGTACAAAATTAAAAAATGTTGTACTAAAACTCCATTTTAGAAAGCAATAAAAAAGCCATCCCAAACGAAGCCTAATTAATCTTTATCATCATTCACGGTTTTATTTAAAAAAAAAATTGTATTTTCATTTACAAAAATATTTTTAAAATTATTTTTTGCATTAATAATTATTTGATGTAAAAGTATTTTGTTGCTTGTTTATGAAGGTCTTCACTATTTGATAGTTCACCTTGTGTGCATTTAGTATTCATAAATCACTACATTGCATATATTTTTTATTTTAATTTAAAATTGTATTTTCAAATATTCATCAAGAAATTGTTATGAGCAATTTTTAAAATTGTCATCTTATTGCAAATGTGGGTATATGTAAACAATATATTGATTTCGACCACTTGATTTTTTTTTTTAAAATTGAATTTATTATACTTTCCCTAGATTTAATGAAATTCGGATGTATAACTTTTTATATATTATAGTACTAATTGTTCTAATGTTTCTCAAAATCAATTTGGATTTATGTCGAGTAGGTCTACGTACTATGAAAGCTATACATTTATTGAGAGGTTTGATGGAAAAACATAGAGAGAATATGAAGGATATTTATATGATATTTATTGATGTAGAGAAAACATATGATAAAAGTCCAAAAGAAGTGATGTGGAAAGTTTTAGAAAAGAAAGGAGTTAATAATGCTTAAATTCAAGTCATTAGGGATGCATATGCAGGTATTGTTACTTGTGCTCAAACACAATGTGATTTCACCAAGTATTTTCCTAATTCCGTTTGATTACATCAAGGATCAGCCTTAAGCCCATATCTTTTTTGCTTTAATCATGGATGTTCTCACTAGACATTTGAAAGAGGTTGTACTCTGGTGTATGCTTTTTGCTGATGATATTCTTCTTGTTGATAATATTAGAGAGGGAGCTGAAATAAATTATGGATGTCAATCATAGAGTTTAAAGGTTTTCGTTTGAGTAGTTATAAAACTGAATATATTGAGTGTAATTTTAATAGTAATAGATATAGTGGAGGGTTTGTGACTTTGGACGATCAAGTTATTAATAAGAGTACACATTTTAGATATTTTGGGTCTATTGTTTAGAGTGATGGTGAGGGGGGTATTATTAGTAGAATTCAAGTTGGATGGTTGAAGTAGAGGAATGCATCAGGCTTGCTATGTTATAGAAAATTATCCCTCAATCTTAAGGGAAAATTCTATAAGATGGTGATGAGACTTACAATGTTTTATATATGGTATAGTGAGTTGTCCATTAAAAGAGAAGCATAATAGATGCTCAAGTGGATGAGTGGCTTTACTCTTAGAGATAGAATACAAAATGAGCATATACGTGAAAAGGTTGGAGTTGCTCTAGTGAAAGATAAGAATAGAGGCAGTAGCCTTAGATGGTTTGGTCACATAAAATGACGGCTTTCTGATCACCCATTTAGCAAAGTAGATGTATTAGATTTTGGTTATGTTAAGAAAGGTAAAGGTAGACTTACAAAGACTTGGTTAGAAAATATTAGAAAAGATCAGCTTTCTTTTTTAGATTTAAAAAGAATTTGACTCTTAACATGACAAAATAGAGAAAAAAGATTCTTGTAGTTGACCCAATGTAGCAGGATAATGGCCTGATGTTGTTGTACTGATTATTTTAAATATTTTGATTAGAGGATTTCATGATTTCATTAGGTAAATTAAAAGTTATTATATTTTGAATGATTTGAACCGAATAAATAATTTTTGATATTTTAGTTTAGTCATACTGGTAATACAAGCATTATGAATGAATATGAGCATGTGATCGAGTAATAACTTACTATTATAATATTATAATACTAATATGAGTGTGGATACGTAAAGGTTGGTTTTATTGATTGGCTAATGACTGGTTGACTAATACATGATGGTGGCCCAACATACTTCCCTTTAAATTTTGATTCATGTGACACACTGATTACAGTTTGTAAGGAGTTATTACTGTGCTGAAGGGAAAGAAGTAACAACTCAATTTACTGAGCCAGCGGTTATTGATTACCGACTATTGGAAAAACACCACATAAGTCAGAATTTTTTACTTATTTAGTGTGATTGCTGAAATACATATTACTGCATTGAGTTATTGTTATTACATCGATCACTATTTTACAACCACTGTACTGTTTTACTATTCTATTGATTGTTGTTCTACTATTATTATATTGTTTTATTATTACTACCACAGATTTTACTGATAATATTGATACTATCACTTACACCATTATTGATTCATTGTCACTATCACTACTATTGATTCTTCCATAGTGTTTATTGGGGGTTTTATTGATAATGAAGTATCACTTTTTCATAGGGGGATTTAATGATCCTACAATTGCCAATTATAACACGAACAAAATAAAAAATAAGTAAATCAAAGCCACTAAAGCGTAAGCTTTGGTGGTGAAAGGAGATCCATCCAAAGTATTCATTGGGGTTGAAAACATCCCTTATTGTAACATATATATACATTCTTAAAGGTAATGGCTTATATGGTTGTAAGAATAATATGAAATTATGGTCGATTGAGTCAAATAGAACTATAAATAAAGCTATTGAGGCTATTCAATTGATCTAACTTAGAGTTAGAGCTATGTCTATTTGGTTGCATATACCATATATTACATTATTAAAAATAAAAAAAAACCCAATAATTTTGTTTTAATTTGAGTGATTGAGTGAATCAAAGACAAATAAATGAGGATAGTTGATTTGAGAAATGCAAATCTTATTTTATTTTTCATGGTTAAGAAAAAAAATCTTCTATTTGTAAATAAAACAAAATACATCACTGAAAATTCACTTGATTCAGCATGATTCTCGAGATAATATTTGAATTAGAAACTTTCAAGATCAAATTCAGAGTTATCCAAACTTTGATTTCAACAAACTTATAATCAGACTGGATGTCTTGACCAGATGAGTCGTCAGCACCGAAGGTGATCTTATTCGACTCCAAATAAGTCCAAATTAAACACTTGACGCATAGCTAAAAACTTTAAGGCACTAATTGGACGACTCTCTTATAGTTAGTGATATTCAAATCTTGTACACTTTTAATTAGGTTGAGTTTCTCGATGAGATGAATTCGACAATTCAAAGATTATTTAATTATTATATCATTAAGAGACTCAAATGTTAAAAAATTAGTCTATAATTTGCAACCAATTTGTTTCAAATAGTCTTAAAATTTAATTACATTTTAAAATTTCTAAATTAATATATGATTTTCTTAAGGCATGCTTCATGCCAATTATTATTTTTTTTTTAAAAGACACCTATACATATTAATCAAATTGTTTGATCTAAATCTGATTCGACCTGAATCCACCTAACATGGAGTTGACCCATTTAACTTATTTATTATAAGAATTATGTGATTTTCAGGATTAGCATGACTCATTTAACCTAAATATGACCCATTTAAACTAAAAATGACTAGATTAATCCAAACCTAGTCAATTTACCAGATTAGTATTTTGGTTAATTTTGAATCAATTTTGGATCTGGTTAACCCAAACCTAACACAAAATTTTATAAGCCCAATCTTTTATACTAGAACTCGACCCAAAATTTTGTTGTGTCAACACGAACTTAAATTTTTTGAGTCAATTTCGTGTTAAATTATTTTACTGAGTCATTTATAAGCACCATAAGACCTTAATTAGATATGAACCATCGAGCTATGATCCATCACCTAATTATGATCTCCTAATCATTATCAACCCCACTATTACGATCTCATAATTATTGTTACCTTACTACAATCTCCTGATTATTATCTCTCGTCTAAATTGACACGCATTGACTTTGTCATCATCCATCACTAATAACCGTCGTAAGAATGGTACATTCATTACTAATTAAGGCTTCGAGACAACTTTTTTGCTGCTTTCTAAAACAATTTTAGTACAACAATTTCGTGAATTAGAATTTTTTGTACTAAAAAACCGTCTTAGAAAGTATCAACAAAATTGTCTCAAACAAAGCCTCGATAAAAAAAATAATAATGGTGCCTATACTTATTATTACTCAATTTCTTAAAGTTTTTTTTTAATGTACAGTATCATTAAATTGACATAAAATTTAAAGAAACAGTCAATTTAGAGAGTTTACAGGTGGAGTGAGCTGAAGGCGTTTTTTTTAGGAAAGTCCGTTTGAAAGTCCGGTATGGGCGCCATCCGTTTCTGCAAATCTGTTAATTTCTCCGGAAATTTTGGATCAGATTGGATATTTAATCGAATTTGGAAAGATCAAATTGTTATCGGATTATTCTGTTTCGCGAGGAAAAACTACCAGCAGAGCAGAGGCGTTGATCGTTGATTACTTGCTATTGATTTGATTGATATCGGCCGATTGATCATCTTCTTGATCGAAGGAATTTCTGAAAACGACTGCTTCTGGGCTCTGGTAAGCGTTAGGGTTTTATTCAGATCAGTTTTTAGCATTTTGCATCAGGGTTTTGAATCTGTTTCATGTTCTTGAGTTATCGGTTCTTCTTTACAATGTGCAAACAATATGTAATTTGGATTGGCAATGAATGCCTGCGGATTGTAGAAGCTTAGTTTTCTTTTTTTAAATAATTTTAAAAGAAAAGATTGGCTATTTATCCGAAAACAGATAACTGTTTTACAATTTTTTTGGTTTCTAAATCGTTTTTCTTTTTAATCTTCTTCAAACCCGGAAGCAGATTTTCTTTTTCGCATTCTCTTCGTTTTTCAAAAGTTTCCTTCTCCTGAAATAACAAAATTCAAATTCTCTGTGAAGGGAAGCGATATTTGTTTGTGGCAATTGCAATGGCGGACGCAAAAGGATCACTGGATTACTGGAGGAAATATTTCAGCAGTGCGAAATCTGATATTTTTGATTTGATCGAAAAAGCAATCCTAGTAGCGGCAACCGATTGTCCCAATGAATTTAAGGACAAAAAGGATATGATCGTCGAGAAGCTTTACACCTGCCAGCTTTCCCTCAATAATGGCGACCAAGAAAGCCCCAAGGAGGAGAAAAATAGTTGCAGCTCTGGCAACTCGGACGAGACTGATCAGATTCTTGGAGAGGTGATGAGGATCAAGGAGCTCCTTTCCAACACGCAACTCTACAAATCTGAATCTGATTCTGATTCTGATTCAGTCTTGTATGAATCACTGAGGAGTTTGCAGATCATGCAATTATCTGTAGAAATTTTGAAGGCTACTGAAATCGGAAGAACAGTGAGTGCACTGCGAAAACACAGCTCCACCCAGATTCGAAAGCTTGTTAGAACTCTAATTGATGGCTGGAAAATGTTGGTTGATGAATGGGTTCAATCTACAGCTCCAATTACTGAAAAAACCATTACAGATTCATCAAAGCAAACTTCGGAGAAGAAACCATGCAATCATTCCTCTGCTGCAGCAGTGAAGAGAAAGCAGATTGAGGAAGTTTCAGATGCGTCAAAGCTGGAGCTTGCGAAGAAGAAGCTCCTTGCAGGATATCAACGAATAGAAAATGCGAAGAAGCGACGAATGATACAAATCATAGAGCCAACTGATCTTCCAAATGTCTCCCATGAAGAACTTCGATCAAGAAAGAAGCTTGGGAAAAATTCTTCAAATTAGGCAATCAAAGCAGCAGCAGCTCCATTTCAGTCCTGCGATGAAAGCTTTCCAAATTAGTTAGTTTTATTTGTTTTTTCAGCTTTCAAGATCTCCATAACTCAGATCATTTTGGTTGATGCTTGAAGCTAAATGTACATATTAGAGATTAGAATTTTATAGTTAGGAATTAATCTCTTGATTCAATTTGATTCTTTTTCTTCATCTTCTATGATAATGTAACTGAACCACTGCTTTATGCAAAATTTTCAAGCCATTATAGTTGAATGTATGTGCTACTTCTGTATTTGTATCATAGAAGAAATTATTACGTGCGGAGTCTGGACATAACTTGCATCCGGACTATAATAAAATCAAGCCACATGGCTTATGCACACCCTGAGTACAATTTGTACGCAGGGTGTGCATAATACACACCCTATATATAAATCACGTGGCTTAATTTTATTGGAGTTCGGACGATACTGAACTCGATCCGCACGTAATAATTTCTCATATCGTAGACTTTTTACAAATTTTTCCTTCTCAAAAGCTTGTGTTAAGTGAAATTATTCTGTGTTCAGTGGATTTTAGCCAACTCAAATTCTTCTTTCTTGTTTTTTTTAATGCACAGTTAAAAATTGTGGTATTATATAAGTAAAATGCCACATATATATATATATATATATATATATATACGTAAAATGCCATATATATATATATATATATATACACACACGACTCCACGTACCTCTTTTATGCGGTGAAGAGAGAAAGTTATGTTGAATCTCACGGCAATATGTTGCTGAAGGAGGGCTATCATTTGGACGAATGTGTTTGTGTGCGGTGAGAGAAGGTTGAGACGATTATACTAGAGAAGACCATCAACGATACTAACAAACTATATAATTTTGAAACCATTGACAACAAAGAAGGTGAGGGAAGTTGTGAGGATATATCATCGAGTGCCTATTGACTAGAACGATAATAGTGCTCCCAAAACCATCGTAGAAAAAAAAAACAAAAAAAAAACGTGTTGTAGTCGCGATGAAGAACAAAATCATTAACACTAGGTTAACAATAAAGGCTAGGAAAGTGGTATACATTATTAAATACAAAAATCTATGCCTTAAATACCATTATCTTCATCACATTATTTCTTTTTTCATTTGATTATAGCAAACACTAATATGTTCTAGCCGAGTTATCATTATATTCTTTAGTTGAGTTAAATACTTAACAGAAATTGTACCTTTTACAAAGAATTTCATAGTAGAGGCTACTAACTTGACCAAGCAATGCTCGAGAACCACCTACAAGACCTTCTCCATAGAGGTTGAGAAGACCACCTTTCCATAGTATTGGGATTGGGCTTCAGTGCCTCATAGGCCTATCATGAAGTTTAGTATTCATCAATAATAACACACTTGCTTGCAATAAGGGGGAAAAAATCTAGCAACAGGAGGAGTTGGGGTGACTTGAGTCACCTCCAACGTAGCATGCTCACTTGGTCTCTTATTAGGCTCGGTTGAGTGCCCAACATCATGAATAGGTTCCTTCTTTAATGATGCATGACTATTTACCACCTTCTTGTTCATGGGTTGCTTCACCTTTGTCATTTTTATTAGTGGGTGAGTTGGAGCCATCTTCTTCTTCTTCTTCTTTTGAGGTGACTCCTTCAAACTTGCGGGGGGGCCTCATGTCCTACTTTCCTTTTCTTCTTTGCTCCTTCCTTGGTAAGGAGATCCTCGCCAAAGTACTCTATCATTTTGGTTTCCTCTAGATTTGTATTGATTGGCACCCCATCTGCAAAGAACATTTGAAGTTAAGGCAAGAATAAGGCTTCTAAAACTTTTGTATTAAAGAGATGCAAGTTACTTATTGAAAAAGACATCATAAATGCATCACACATTAACATGGTTTCTAACTGGTAGGAACCTCCCCTTGAGTCAATCAAATGTTGGAGCTTCTTATTCATTTAGCTTGAGCACCACCATCTTGTCTTTAGTGAAGGGTGCTGGGTGAGTCAACGCCTCTTAGCTCAATAAGGACTTCATGAAGACAAATTTCATGTTAGAGTCTCTAACCTTATTTGCCAAGATACCCATCCTCATGCAAACTAAGGAGCATTGGATATTATCATCATTGAAGACCAAGAGGGTGAATACATGGTGGAACAAGGTTAGAATCCACATATCTTCTCTTTCCATAGATGTGAGATGAATGTGACCACACTTGCAATGGAGTTTAACATGTTTTTTGATGGAGTGGGAGTTGCAGGCTCAGCTTAACCTAGTCATAAGGAATGTAAAATTAGTCATCGATGAAAGTGTTGAGGTGCTAATCATTAATAGACACTTGGACATTCTAATTTGTATCCTTATAGTAATACCGAAATAATACCACTTGGACTTTCTAATTTAATTTCCTTATAGACCTATTAACACTTAGACTTGGTGAATGTTTTGTGATGTTTCCTTAATGCTTCCATCTAAAAGGGGAAACATGACAAGGGAAGAAAGAAAAAAGAAACACAAAGTGCAAAATACAAATATGGTGCCCTTCCTATTTAGATGAGTGGATAGTGACTCAGATTTTGAGACTCTAAGTACATGTACCATTAATGCCCCATATTTCTCTCTTACCTTCAGCATAGGGATAACATGTTGTAGCTCTGGATGCTCTCCATTAATGGAATCTTCTTACACTTCTAAACTTGTCAAAATTCACTATTTTATAATTGGAATCCATGATTCCAGAGAAGCAACCTACTCCAACCATTGAATAATGGATCATTTCATTATTCAATTAAACATATATAATTAATATGATAATCATATTAGAATTCATTAAATACATTGTGATTTCTTCCCTTATAGACTTCTTAATTTTCTCCATATCTTCAAAGGCAAAAACATAATTAAAGAATAAGCAAGATCTTCATAAAGAAGTTGAGGGATATTACATAATCAAAGCAATCCAATTCAAGATCATCCAAGTTGTATTGGGTTAGGCAATTTATTCTCATATTCTTCTTAGTACACGTAATGGTATTGTAATTTTGTTAATCATGTTACATTGTTTTCATAAATTGAATTTAGGAATTGTTGGGAATGACTGAAGCTCTTTATAAAGATGGATGTAAAGCAGCTACGGAGAAAGCTGCTATAGAAAGCATATTCATTGCACGAAAATTTATTGAAAGCTTTAAAAGAATAGTGACCATACAAAAACTATAATAACAGTCTGAAAAACAAAGCAGTATAAAAGATGCCCCAATAAAACCTTAGTGAGTCTCTATTTATTAAATAAATCAAGTTGCATAAAAATGTCATATGCTGCATCTTCGCTAGTAATTTTTTTGGACTTTTTAGCTCGTTAAAGTCAAACTCGCACATATCACATACATAAGTTTCAAACTCAAAACCTATTGATTTATAGTCAAAGCTTCCGGTCAACACATCAAGATGAGCTACTTTTTATATATCCTAATTTAATTTATAAATAAATTATGAGTCTAGAGAAATTCTGGTATTAATATACTTTGTAAAAAGAAATATATTCAAATTGTTTTTCTTAAAAAGAAAGCCTATCAAATTTTACCACTACAATTAGAGTGTTTGATATGAGAGATTATTAGGTGCAGAGTGCAGATGAGGAGAACCGTTTGCACACTAGTATAAAATCCAGCTAAGTACCGTTCGGTACTACTGGGTACCACTAGGTACCGCTTGGTATCCTGTGTCTGTGCAAACGGTGCTCTCCCTATCTGCACTCCGCACCTAATAATTCTTCGTTTGATATTGCGTTTTCAGTTATTAACGGCTTCTGACCAACTTCCTGTCGCTTTCGTTCTATCCTTCTAGGCATGAGCACAAGTCAAACATCCAATGGGGATATGCCAAATGTTAAATAAATAATTATTAAAAAAAAGACTAGCTGTTGACTGCCGCTGGTAAAGTTTCCAGGAGCTTCTAGTAGGACAAATCAATTAATTATATTAAAATTTTGTTTGAGACAATTTTATTGTTCTTGAATCAATTTTTTTAGTACTAAAAAAATATTTTAAGAAATAATAAAAAATCTTCCCAAATGAAGCATAAATTTTGTTTAGGATAGCTTCCATTCTGCTTTATAAAATAATCTTTTAATAAGTTTTTTTAAAATAAAATTTTATATAAAAAATTTATTTTAAAAAGCTGTAGAAAGCTATAGCAAATAAAATCTAAGATTTTATTTGAGACTTTTTTTTTGTTGTTTTTAGACAACTTTTAAATGCAAAAAAAAAAAAAGAATAATTTTTTTTTTTTAAGTTGAAGAAAAAAAGTTATCCCAAACAAAATCTAAGATTATATTAATGTTCTCATATTTGATTTAAAAGTATTAAATTTGATTGCAATAAAAAATTATTTAAAATAAGTTGTGATTTTGTTATTAGAAGGGTTTTAAGTTACAGAGACAGATTATTTAAGATATATAATTTAATTTGAATTTCAAATAATTTTGAAAATTTTGACTGAAAATAAAATTTTAATTATATATGTTTATCTTATATTTTTTTAATAAAGAAATATTAGTAGCATTCATTTGAAATTTGTTGAGATCAAGGTGAGCGAGTGCCCCTTAGTCTGAGCAAGTGCGAATGACTCCTCCGGGTGAGACGAGTGCCCCTTAGTCTGGGGCAAGTGACTCATATCGAATGCATCATGATCCTTCGATGGAAAAATTATTCTGCGCGGACACTGAATGCCTTTCGGAGATCAACCAGAATGCGCTACGTCACCCCTTTGTTCGGTACCGCTGATGTGGCTCTACTTGATTCGCCTTCGAAGGTAGAGCTACGTCCAGCGCCCGCACAGAATAATTTCTCCCTTCGATGAGTCCTAAACCCTCACTCATCCATTTCCGCATATTGAGATGTAAATTTCTAATATTAATAAGTACTTTTTAAAAGTAATATATCAAAAATATTTTTTTTTTTCTTAAAGGAAGATCATCAAATTATATGCAAGAGCAAAAGCGATAATTTTTTTTTTTTTGGGAAATAATAATTTTCTTAATTAGTGGCTACAGTCCACCTTCCAAACGCTTTCGTTGAAATACTTGAATGCTTGGGTAATAAAGCTACAAGCATCCGATGCTCAGACAATTACTTGTTGACTTCCCCAGTCAAAGTCTGGTTAGACGGTTCATACTGAGATTTTGTTTGGGACGATTTTCTTACTGTGCGCAGCTTTTTAGTATAATATTTTAAAATTTTGCACTAAAAAGCTGCTTCAAGAAGCAGTAAAAAAGCCGTCCCAAATGAAGCCTAAGACTTTATTGTTTCTTCTTTTATTTAAAATAAAAAAATATTTATTTTGATTTTGATCGAAACTAATAATTTTGATTTTTTTGAAGGAAATGTTATTAGCATTTATTTGAATTTTTTTGTCATCTTTTCACATTATTTATTGTGAATTAATTCTGAAAACGAAGCATGATTAAGAGGTTGTTTGGTTTGCTGGATTTGTAATGTAAAGTATTTCGAATGCATGGATTTCATAAATACAAATATTTTGTTGGGCAAATTTCAAATGTTATATAATTCATATATGATTTCAAAATTTATTATCTAGTTCAAATTTGATGCATATATATATGAAAATTGCTAGATTTAGTCGATTTTCAAATACAGAATTGCCATCGCATGTTGCAGCCAACCGCCACCTCCATTTCTATTGAACACTGTCAGGCATCTGCATGTTGCCACCAACTCCCTCTGGTCGCCCGCTCCCATAGCTCGCCATCGTCGCTACCAATCGGCCACTATTATCGTTACCTTTACACTATATTCATTTTATTTCAATCAAAAAAGAAGTAATCATCCATATTTATTTTACAACAAAGATGTTACACATTCACGCATGTAAAACTCATCATTAAAAATTCTGAAAAAAATTTTAAAAAAATTGAAGTCAAATAAGATATAATGGCAATATAAAAAAATTATAAAAAAAGAAAGAAATTCATTTACTTGACTCGTGATGCATGCTTTCCCTGTTAGTCATCAACTGTTTTTGAGCAACGACCAAGGAGAAGACCAGAGAAGTCTCCCCTTTCATGTCGCATATATTTAACTGTTCGATTCATCAGCTCGAACTGAGAAGGCGAGCTTGAGAGAGATCCATCAATGGCGAGGAAAGGGGAAAGAAGAGGAAGACAACCGTGCTGTGAGAAAGAAGGGCTGAAGAGAGGCGCATGGACTGCCGCAGAGGACAAGAAGCTTGTTGCATATATTACCATGCACGGCCACACCAACTGGCGAAATCTTCCTAAACAAGCTGGTAACTCTTCATATAAATTTCTATGTTATAAATGTAGTTAAATTTGAATTTTGTACTGTTCTTTTCTTTCTCATGTGAAAGAGAAGAGAACTTATGAGAGCTCACTAGGGTACATGTTGATGAGATCTGTAGTCTGTGATAGAGAAAATAAGTGGTAAGAGCTAGCTTGGGGGTGATGATGATGGAACCGATTGGTTGCGAGGAAGAAGAGGGCATGATAAGGTGAAATTATTCTGTGCGGTCACCGGACCGCCCGAAAAAGAATTAGAATATTGCGCTATGTCATCCGGTATACAATACTGATACGTAACAAAAAGTGCGCCAGAAACTTAAATTTTCGTTGGATATATGTGTGTTCCGGCGGATTTAGTCCGCCGGCCGGTAATGACGGGTTTTCTTGTAGTGCGTGATGTGTCCTAATTCGCATCCAGACAGCGTCTGGTTACCGCTCAGAATAATTTCTCCGTTATAAGAGCTTGTTAGGGGAGGTTTCGTTGGGATTGATGACTTGAGATGAAGGAGATGACATGATGAGAGTACATTATAGTAGGTGAAATTATTACGTGTAGTCACCGAAAGCTGTTCAGAAACGAATCAGAATGCGTCATCTCACCATTTGCTATGTACTGGCGTATCGGGGTGACGTGAAACATCTTGATTCGCCTCTAGACCGTCCGATGACCACACGTAGGCATTAACAAGATCGACAATGCGGAGTAGAGGATGTGATGGGATTTTGGTGTGAAAGAAATCAAGCGAGGTGTATTTTAAAATTGTTTGAATAGGGTGTGATTTTAGAATACATCACACGAGTTTTAAATTCATCTTTAAAATGCTTTGAATTTACTTTTCTGCTAACAAAATGCGTGATAATTTCTAATACTCCAAAACTCCTCCAACCAAACAGCCTCTTAATCATTTTCTTCATTAAAAAAATTATTTTGAACGTGAAATTTGAATTATTATGATATGCTTAATTGCTAATTACATTCACATAAGAAAATTTATTATTTTTTAAATATATTTTTTTTCTAATTTGAAGACCAACTATATTTTTTCTGCTATTTGGCACAGGTTTGCTGCGATGTGGAAAGAGCTGTAGGCTAAGATGGATTAATTACTTGAGGCCAGATGTGAAGAGAGGAAACTTCACCAAGGAAGAGGAAGATACCATCATCAGTCTACACTCAGAGTTGGGCAACAAGTTAGTGCTATGTAAACAACATTGGGACCCATTTTAACACTTAAAAGTTTGATATCAATTTACATAATATTTATAAAATAAAATAAAATATAAATTTTCATAATCTTTAGATACTTAGGTGAAATATAAATATATATTTATTATTAACATGTTCATCAGCTACTCTTTTGAATCCGTAGATGGTCTAAAATTGCTTCTTATCTTCCCGGGAGGACGGACAACGAGATCAAGAATTTATGGCACACACACATAAAGAAGAAGATTGCTCAAGGAGAAGCAAGTTCGAGTTCTTCTTCCAAGCAAGAATCCTATGAAATAAAGCCAAATCAAAGCATAATTTTACATGAATACAATTCTGCTGAAGAGTTGAGCAGTTCCCAGATGTTATGGAGAGAAGAGCTCAATGGAGTGATGGATTTTATGATGATGCCAGAGGAGGATGAGGGATATTATAATGGGTTAGTTTATTTAGAGAGTGAGATTGACTTGTGGGGACAAATGAACTGAATTATATTAACAAAGAGTTGTAGAGTGTGTTATTGCATATTATATATATATTAGAGATAGATAAAATGTAAAGTAACCAATGGATGGTAGTTATGTTATTTATGTTCTAGAAATAGAGTGTTTTGTTTTGCTTCATGACTAAGTATTCATTGTGCTTATTAAAAAAATAAAAAAGATCTTGTTGATTTAGGGGAGATGATTCTTCTTTAGCTCTGAGACAATATATCTAACTAATGCCATGTGTTTAGGTTAATTCCTTGGCACTAGATCATACCTTAAAGCTCATTGAGTATGAGGACCCACTTTTAGTAATTCACCCCAGCACCCCTTGGATCATTTGCATGATCCTCTTCTTCATCTCCAAAAGTTGACGATGATTTGCAAAGTTTTAATTCTTCATGTTGATCGATCTCTTACTATCACATTCTTCTGCTGCTTGTAGTGCTTGGTTTGTAGTCTATGTCATTAATACATGCTCACTGCACTTTAAAGAATATTGGATCTAAAATTGCTCGTGAGTAACACATTAACCATACTGGCAAACTAGTTAGGCTATTTAGAGCAAGAGGGGAAGAGCTAAAGTGAGTGAGAACAAAAGCTCTAAGATTCAATATACTTTTTATAAGTAATAATTTACGTAAAACCTTAAAGATGCATCTCAACCTCGTATTTCTATGGGTTGGAGGGCTAAAACTAATGAATAATATAATAAATGTAATATTTAAATGTTATATACACGAGGGCATGATTCTAGCGACTATACATGGAAAATCTTCTCTAAGCTGGCCTTAGGATATCTCTGATGAGTTCTTGTGGCTAATGCTTATAGCTAGTGCCCTTGATTGAGATGCTGGTTGAATTGGTGAAGTCATTATTGTTAGGTTGGTGAGCGTCTTCTACTTACTAGGTGTATGCCACTTTGCTAAAAGCAATTTTTTTTTTTAATATTAAAGGAGAGTGCCTTAGTTGGATGACTTCTTTTGAGGCAAGTTCCTCCAAAGTGGATACCTCGTAGTTGAGGCATGTTTGATCTAGGTGAATCCCTCATGACTAGGTTGAGCTCTTTCTTTAAATCAAGCTTATCTAGGGCCAATTTGTTTGATCTCATTTGATTCCTCAAAAAACCTATTTTGATCACCTTAACTTTCTTAGACATGCACATTAGGGGGTGTGCAGAAAGTGTTTGTGCATTTACAACATAGGTTTTCATGAAAATTCATATTATTGTCGTGGGTTGTAGATTTTGAAATGTTCTCATTGGAGATCATGTAGATCGATGAATTAAGGAGAAGTGCATGAAAATGGTAAACTGGAAGTGATTTTATGACGCGAATGTTTTTATTGTGGATGTGATCTCAGATGAAGTTGTGGTCGATCGATCTTGATGTGCTTTGTATGGGTGTGAAAAGTTGGATTATTGTTAAGGGTGATGGTAGGGATGTTATCACAGTTAATGTAATATGTTGATAAAGAGGAATATGTAAATCATAAAGGAGGCGACAAAGCCATGTGATGTTGGTTGTTGTGGCAATAAGTGCATGATATTCAGCTTCCGTAGATGATTGATAAACGGTTTGTTGTCTCTTAATGATCCAAGATATGGGGGTGGAATCAAGGACTGAATAGTAGCCTATGATAGAGCGACAAGTAAGAGGATCACTAGCCCAGTCGACATAAGATAATGATTGAAGTAGGGGGGGGGGTGCGCCTTGGAGAATGGGTAGGCCAAGGTGAAGTGTACCTTTAGTATCTTAATAGATGTTTGAGTATAATAGAATGTTGGGGTTGTGGATCATGCATGTGTTGGCATAATTGGTTGATGACGAAAGATATATCTGGATGAGTGATGGTTAAATATTGAAGGGAGTCGATGATATTGTGGTATAGTGATATAGGGGGGACAAGACAAAGGATGGTGAACTTATGTTAAACTCGCTGAATTTGAAATGTGTCATTTTTTAAATATAAAATTTATAATAGTCCACTAATTTATGTAAGTATACGTGCTGAATCAAGTAATAAAGTAATATAGTAGATTGTCGAACCCTCGAGAAAGTGTTCAATTATAATGCAAAAAAACTACTAATGCATACTTCAATTGTTTGAATTTATCCCACTGAAATAAAAAAAATAAAGTTTTCAAGTTCCTACCCCTGAATGAAAATTAGTAAAAAATGGTTGATACATTTTTAATAAAATGTTTTGACCTGATGCAGGTAAATCACATCTTTCCTAATGAGAATTGTAGATGTGGATCATAGCATGCGTACCCCTATCTCTATCGAGCTTATAGAGGTGAAAAAAAAAATGTTAGTTTTTCTATAATTTAACTATCTCCGTAGAACCTAATATGTTCAAACAACCTATGTCTAAAAGCATGCCAATATTCCATTTTAATATTCCTAATTGTTATTGCATTCCTCCATTAAGGCTATACATCACACTAGATTTTAATTACACGCATAGCCATTGTATGCACTTCGTCTCAATTCATGGTTGTTGTGACTATGGAGTAGATTGCGGCTGCAAGATTTTGATCAATCAAAACCAATTGATTGTATTCGGGATTGATTTGGGACTGCCCAACATAATTGGGTCAAATACAAGGAGGAGGTATAGTAGTTCTGTGAAGGTAGGTAAAGAAGCCATTAACAAGAAACAGATTGAGCATTTGAGATCTCTAGAAAGAATAATTATCTTGAGAAAGTTGGGTAGGGACAAGATTTTTTATGTTGGATATTACAAATTTGAGAGAAGAGGGTATGCATACCTCTGAAGAGGAGGAAATGACAGAGGTGGTGTGCTTCATTTGAGAGGTTGCTAGTTCATCCATTACAATCACCAAGTAACAATGAGAAGATAGCTTGAAGTTCATTCTTTCCTTGTTGTCGAAATACCTTACAGTAGGTTTCATAAGTAAGGAAACTAAAGCTACTATAAAAAACTAAGCAAGGAGAATAGCCTATGAAGAGAAACATATTTTCATATTGAAAGGATCACTAGTCTTGATTACAGTATATATATGTTTGAACAAAAAAATGTATTAAAATATAGAAACAATTATTTTATGTTTTAACATAAACAAATAAAATAAAAATAATTTTTCTTTTTAAAATTATGTTTTTTTAAAATTTCAACTTGAACCATCATCCTTGAATTGAACCTGAAAAGCCTCTCAACCTGATGGAACCTGACCGGCAAACCGATCCATTACCATCGTCTTCATGCTTTGAGGCTATTTGGCAACAAGTAGGATTTAACTTTAGTGGGGTTTAGTAAATTCAAATTTAGTAAATCCTGAGGGTGTTGAATCCTAAAAAGTTAAAAACTGTTTGGTATGACATAAATTAAATCCCGAGAAACTGTTTGGCTATATCAATATGTTTAAGACAGTTTGTTCATCTATTATTATAATGGTCTATTGTGAAGCGTGAGTTGCTAATGCAATTCAAAGCATAATAACTTCTAAAGAATGAAAGATAGTTACTGAACTCATTACAAATCTGCCAAGTATTTCATACTTTTTGTGTCGGAACTAGATACAATTTTTTTGCTATATGTTTGGTGGAGGATGGCCTAGTCGACAACAATAATTAAAAAGAGTGCTAGTGGAAGAAAGACCAAAAAGAACATAAGTTGTCAAGTACTAGACCTAATTAGCTTCAACGTCTACATACTTTGTGAGCGAGTCTTCAACTAAAATGCAACACCACAAAAGTTGTGCAAGTGCATTATGTCAATACAATGATATGTGCAAATGCGCTATGTAAGTACCTCAAATAACTGTGTGTGCATCATGGAAAGGTCGGCTACATGAATCCTTTTTCTCCATTGTGTTCTATTAAAAGTCAAATTCTCGTTTAAATCTAATAAAAAAATATCATTTCTAATATTTTATAAAGAAATATTAATGAAGGAAATGCAGGATGGTAAGACAAGGCTTAGCTATAAATACCCATATCAAATGAAAATGAAGTTTTATGTTTTGGAAAAAGATCATTACTTGATGGTGGGGTTTGATTGATAACGTAAATTAAAATTTGAAGTTTTTTAAAATTAATCATACTGTATGATTCAGAATCGTATGGGACGATTTGACTTGTTTTCCTCCAAAAAGTAGTTAATCGAACCATGGGAAGAAATATAATGGCGTACTCTGGTCATTCCGTTACTTTTTGCTTTGGCTTTGACTCGCGGGAGACACTCCCTGAGTTTCTACTCTCTAGCCTACCTACGGGGGGATCACTTTTGGTTCCTTGCTGATTTGACATACGTCATTATGAGTCCACCATGCTATAAAAATACATATACCTTATTATGTGGGGTTGGCTACATGAATCCTTTTTCGTCATTGTGTCTTGTTATCATCAAACCTGTCAATTTCTGTTTGGATTTTAGTACAAAATCAAAAGAGATGGTAGAATATTCACTTCTTAATATAGACACATTGCCACAAAGCATGAATTAACCAAAGTGAGGTAGGGACCAAGATCTCTAGTGGAAGGAGTTCATGGGTAGGTATACTGTTCAAAAAAAGACCATCCACTCCTTTCTAAATATAGAATAGAATATCTGAAATGTGAAATATAAGAGTTCATGCCAAATATTCATTAGAATCTCTCTCTCTCTCTCTCTCTCCAATATAATTTTAAAACAACTCATCTAAATTCTGAATTAATCTAGATACAACTAATATGCAATCCTCTGCTTCCATCTGTTTTTTGGAGCGACGAGATGAGCTTGAATTTGACCTGACTCGTTTTTAAATTTAATCTAAGTTGTTTTGATGCAAATGATCATGAACTTGAAAATGCAGAGAAGAAAGGTGATAAAAACAGTGGTGATTGATTTATAAGCTTCATTATTCATGGTAGGGGTGTCAATATTTGACACGACCCGAAAACCCGACCCGAACGGCCTGACCCAAAAATTTCGGGTTAGGGGTGAACCCAAACCCGAAACGGGTCGGGTTCGGGTTCAACATTTCAACCCGTTTCAAAAATCGGGTCGGGTTCGGGTTAATCCTTTGACCCGAAATTGACCCACCCAATTTTGACCCGAAAACCCGAGATTGGCCTGACAACCCGAGATTGACCCGATTTTGACTCATTTTTGATCCGAAAATTAACCATTTTTTGTTGGAAATGGGTCATTCGGGTCGTGTCGGGTTGACTCGGACCCAAAGCGGGTTGGGTCCGGGTCAGAAAAACTGACCCGTTTTTAAAAACGGGTCGGGTTCGGGTTGACCCGAATAGTGCCGGGTCAGTTTCGGGTTCGACCCGAACCCGACTCGTGACCCGAAATTGACACCCCTAATTCATGGCATTTGTGATGGAAGATTATGGACAAAAAGATTGTATAATTAAAAACGGTTTGTTCATTTATAAATTAAATTTTTTATGGTTTGAATTTAATATACATGTTCACTATGAAACTATTTGATAATTAGATAATTAGTGATATAGTAAGTAATTTGATAATTTACATCTAAATAATTAATTTGATAATTAATAATAATAATTAAGCTAACGTCTAATTATATTATTTATCATTAGAACTTATTAAAGGTAAGTAAAAATAAAGTTAATAAGTTATAATGATAAATTACTTATTATATTACTAATTATCTAATTATATTCTTAAATACTACTTAATTTGTTAATTATGTTTTGAAATTATAAATAATTTAATTAATATTCATATTAATGTTTTAATTAAATATTTAAATATTATACTAATTTAATGACAATTGTACAACTAATAACTAAAATAATCAATAAATTATAAATATTAATTAAACTAATGTAATGATAATTGTACTATTAATTATTTAATTAAATTAATTATATTATTAATTATAATACTAATTATTTAAGTAATCTAATTCATCATAAATGTTTAAATTATATTAATAATGTTAATTTAGAGTGATTTATAATTTAGTTGGCTGACTAGGGTTTGCTTTTTATGCATGGTCGCTTTTTCTTGCCGCCATTTCTTCATGGCTGCTTCGCACGACGGGAGCTCGCTCGCTGCTTCGCCTCCTAGGATTTAAAACGGTTGGAGATTTAAAATTGAATTAACTAATTATTTTGAAATAACTTACTATTTAAATAATATTTTAACTAATTATTTAATTAATAATTTAATTACTATTTTATTAGTTTAAATTATAAATTTTATTATTAATCATCTCATTAATCACTTAAGATTTCTATCGATCTTTAATTATTTTACTATTATTTATATTATTAATTCTATGTTTAATAATGTATAAGATAATTATACTAATTTCTAATTACTAATTATTTTATTAAGTTAAATTAGATAATTAATTTATAACTAATTCTACTATTAAATATTTAATTAATATACTTAGTTATTAATATTTTAAATTATATTAATTAAGTTAAATAGTGATGGCTGAGGCGTCTAGGGTGTCCTTGCTGTTCGGCATCGTTGCTTCCCAGGAGGTGTCGGTTCTTCGGCTCCTTCGTCGCTGTTCGACTTCGCTCCTTCGACGACGTTCCCTTCCTGTCGGATCGGACGTTTCAAAATTTTGATCTGAAGCAACGACGGAGCTCGCTAGCTCGCTGTGAAGGTAAGTTTCTCCCTTTCGCGCGCTTCTTCGGCCAACTCCCGTAAATCCGACTTCTAGTGGGATTAGGATTTACCGGGATTGCCGTAAATCCACAAATCCGGGATTTACGGATTTGCCGGATTTACCGCAACTTTTTTTGCGTTTGGCTGGATTTACCCTAAATCCTACTAAAAACTCGAAATAAATCCGATACCAAACACTTCCTTAGTGACGACTCCGAGCTCTTCAAAGTCAGGGAGGGGAGAGAACTCAGCGGCAATGGAGGCAGAGAAGTACCAAATCGATTTGGGAAACCTTATGGCCTATGATCCAAGTCATCACTTCCAGCCCCTCCCCTCGTCCAGGTTCATAGGCTTCTTCCTTTCTTTATTGCATTCTGAAAAGAAAAAAAGAGAACTTTTGGGGTTGATTGAGTTTAATTAGTCAATTGAGGTTTCTGGTTGATTTTGTTGTTTTATGTAGGGAAGAACTGTCGAGGCAATGCTTGGAAAAGGGAACAGAGCTCGTTCAAGGCGTTGTCAATGCTCTATTCAGTTTACCATCGACTGAAGACCTGGACGGACCCATTGTTCGATTGCCAGAACCCTCAACGAGGCTTCCTAGGGAGAAACATGTAAGGAAGCTTTCTTTATTGAGAAGTCCTTTTTGTTACGGGATTTCTTTTTATTCTGTGTAACAATTTTATAATGAGTTTTTGAGATATGACATGTTGGTGCCTTTACTTTATAATAGATGGCCTTCTAGGCTCCGTTGGATTTTATGGTTGAGAATGGAAGTGGACAAACAAAGCAGATTATAGTCTATAAATTGTGTACGCAGATTCATGAAAAAACTTTTAAGTGCCAGAATCGCATTTACTTACCTCCATTGATTCTTTCATAAAAAAGAAAGGTGAAATCCTTGAAAATTTGTTAGATTTTAAGCTTTAAATTCCACCAGGGTATATAGTTGGTCTCACACCATGATAATGTGACATTCGTTAATGTGATTGAGTTTCCACAAGGTTAACAAATAGCATTTTTTCAGTTATTTCAACTACGTCAATGGCCTTTCCAATTTTTTAAGGCTCTCTTTTGTGATCATTTTCGCGAATATGTCTCATTAATAGGGTCTTGATTCCATCTTTATTATTGTGGGTTGGTGATGTGGTCCTTTAATTCCAGGTTTTTTTAAATTTATCCTCTGAAGAAGGAGAACCAAAAAACAAACTTTTATCGTGTTTTGATGTAGGCAGGGGGGGGGAACTCATTTGCCAAAGTTTTGAGCTGATTTGGCTTCTCAGTTTAAGCTTTGGTTGTTCGTTTTTTGCTGTTTTTGGTGAGTTACTGAGTTCTCTACTTAAATTAGCTAATTAATGTCTTGTGGAATACCTTTTTCAGCTCATTATTCATGTGTCCTGGTTCATTCCCCCCTTCTTTCCCCTCTCTGTGGTCCTTCGGTTCCTCCTCCTGGGCTCCCCTTCCCGTGGCTGCCTTTCCCCCTTCCCTTGGTCTTTCGGTTTCTCTCCTGGCTGCCTGTTCCGGTTCCCTTTTTGGCTTCTCGGTTTAAGCTTGGTTGTTCGTTTTTTGCTGTTTTTGGTGAGTTACTGAGTCCTCTACTTAAATCAACTCATTAATGTCTTGTGGAATACCTTTTTCAGCTCATTATTCATGTGTCCTAGTTCATTCCCCCCTTCTTTCCCCTCTTTGTGGCCCTTCGATTCCTCCTCCTTGGCTCCCCTTCCCGTGGCTGCCTTTCCCCCTTCCGTTGGCCTTACGGTTTCTCTCCTGGCTGCCTGTTCCGGTTCCCTGTGTGGCCCTTCGGCTGTTGCTCCTGGACAGCCCTTTGGCCTTCTGTTTTCCTTGCCCTGATTGGCTCGGTTGGAGGTATTTTGGGTTGTTTGGATGCCCCATTTCTCCTATATTTATTTGATGTTTTGAAGAATAAAAAAGGAGGATATGATATAATTTTTGGATCCAAAACCTGAGGGTTTTCTTCTTGGAAAAGCTTGCGAGCTTGTTCCATTTCTCTCATTTTTGGGAAAGCTTGCGAGCTTGCCCCCCTTTCTCTTCTCCTATCTACGACTTCATCTCGGGCTTCTTATCTCCTTCTTCTCTCCGCAAGTGACCACCCAATTTGTATCTTTATTCTCTATGATTGCAAGCAAGTTTATGAGTTTTATTTCATAAGTTTGTAAGCGTCGTCTTTATAATATGAAAGTTGAATTATATTTTGTTTATGTGTTATCGCTTTGTCTTATTTAAGTTTTTGTGTCGATATATGGTTGTAAGTGTGAAAGACTTAGTTTTAATGTAATTTTGATATATGTTTTTCTCGACTCTTACTATACATGGTTTCGATATTATTTTAAACAATAAACTATGTAATGAGCATATACGTGAAAAGGTTGGAGTAGCGCCAGTGGAAGATAAGATTAGAGAGAGTCGCCTTAGATGGTTTGGTCACATAAAACTGCTGCCTTCCGATGACCCGGCTAGGAAAGTAGAGGTATTAGATTTGACTTATGTTAAGAAAGATAGAGGTAGACCTAAAAAGACTTGGTTAGAAAATATTAGAAATGATATTTCTTTATTAGATTTAAACGATAATTTGACTTCTAACAGGACACAATGGAGAAAAAAGATTCATGTAGCCGACCCCACGTAGTGGGACAAAGGCTTGATGTTGTTGTTGTTGTCGCCGCTTCATTTATCATCTTTATCCTCCTTTCTTCTGACCAATTTTCCAATGGAGACATCTCTGTGTTTTTCTACCTAGTTATTATTTCTCGTGAATTGCACTTGTCATTATTATCTTGAATTGCTGCCATTCTAGCTATTTTTTTCAGAGCTTACTCCCACTTAATTTACTTCCTATTCCGCTGTCTTCCTGCTATGTGTGTCAATTTCCCTTTGAATATGTTTGTTCTACCTACCCTTACGTTCCTTCCTTTTTCCTCCTTTAATCATTGGCTCACTGTCTCTCTCCCCTAATCACCCTCCTCTCAAGTCTCATCCCCTATCTTGATCCCTCTTTTTTGTGCGTAACATTGATATTTCTAGATTGATTCTTCTGTAGATTGCTTGATCACTTCATAACTAATTCTACACGAATTATTATCTTTCCATGCACCTTTTAGTTGCCAATGCAAGACTATCCTGATTACAGTCTTGAACTCCAAATATTTGATAACCTTTCTTTGCAAGCTAATGATAATTTTTTGACTTCATCATGAATTGATTCATTCTGCATTTTATAGGGCGCCTACTGGCACTTGGGATCTTTTTCCAGCATAACAACTATGACATTGACAGCTTTATTATTTTACTTTTCATAAATCATATTTTAATGATTTACAACCCGAAAAACTTCTCATTCCTGGTTTGAATGTAAATTTCTTCTAGCTAACGATTTATTTGAAATTTATTTGATGATTATTCAATTATTTTTTTAATTGAATTAGTACATAAACTATGCATATCTATGTTAACCTTCTTTTTTTGTTTGCTTAAAATCTAGTTACCCAGGCCTAAACCTCCTACAAAATGGGAATTGTTTGCCAAGATGAAAGGTTAGTTATGTGATTTTTCCATTCCGTAGGCAAAGAGAAATGATCAATTCATTAATCTTTTCGCTTGTTTGGCCTGTGGGTTGTAGCTGATCTCCATATTGTTTGTGCTATTCTGCAGGAATAAAGAATCGTAAAAAGGACAAGCGTGTTTTTGATGAACGAACTGGTACTTGGAAGAGACGTTATGGCTATGATCGAGTGAATGATGATAGAGATGTACCAATTATTGAAGCCAAAATGACTGACGGTAAACATTATTTCTTAGAATCCTCCTTTATATCTTTCAAAGTATTATTATCTATATGATCATAAATTCATAATATGATGTTATTAATATAATAAATTCTGAAGTTTGAAATGTACTTGTAAATAAGCTTAATCATCATTAATGGACCTACTCCAACTATTTATGGCCTGCTTTTGTGAATCCTTATTCTCCATTTATTCATATTGAATGCTAATGTTAACTCTAGTTTATGTAGTTTTTTTTCTCAATAATTATGGTTGCTGCCTTCGTTGTACTTCCATAAACACAAATCTAGACATGACAACTTGAATAACTTCAAGGTGAAGAACCTCCCATTCATAGCAGAACCTACTAGGTAAAGAAAACTATCTTTAAAAAACCAAACACATTCTCTTTTGAGACTTGGGTGACTTAAGGGTTATCGCCTATAAATATAGCTTAAACAGTCTCTTAAAAAATTTGGTTGCAAGATAAATACATTAAAAGCAATTGAAAGTAATATAACTTCTAAAAGATTTGAGTAAAAAATACTTTATAAATAGCTAAAGGAGATTTAGAGTTCATGATGAACACTTTAAAGCTTTCTCCGAATTCTCCCTACATAATATAAGCTCTCTTTCTCTTGGTTTTTGTATTAGTTATTTTTCTTATAAATCCTTATTTATATATAGCCTTTTGTGTTGTTAAAAACATACTTGGATAGCATATAGACATTAAGGTTAACTAAATTAAGCTATGCTTGCCATTGTACTCAATAAATAACTGATAATCAGCTGTTTTAATGCAATACAATTCACATTGTACTATCTGATCATCATACCGTATGATTTAAGTCGTATGTTAAGACTTAGATGTGTCAATATTTTGATTTAAAACATTCAACAGCTAGTTTAATAGCTTTTTTTATCTAGATCACAATTTATGATTGTTGATCGCACTGGTTGATTCTCAACGCGATTATCTATGTGATCTTGATAGTACTATACTATGTAGCACGGATACTCCTATTTATGAGGCATGTTGTATCGGACACGTATTGGATACATATACGCCTCTGATACGACACGGATACGTGTCAGATACGGCTTTGCCGTGTCCATTTAAAATATTATTTAAATTTGATCGGACACACGTATTGCTTGGTACTCAGTACCGCTCAGTACTCGGTACTGCTCGGTACAGAGCAATACTAGAACTCAGTACTGCTCGGTACTCGGTACCGCTCGGTACTTGTCGTTACTGCTCGGTACCGAGCGATACTAGAACTCAGTACTGCTCGGTACTCGATACCGCTCGATACTGCTCGGTGTTCGGTACTGCTCGGTACTCGGTACCGCTCGGTACCGATCGGTATCGGAACTCGGTACCACTCGGTACCGCTCAGTACTACTCGGTACACAGGGGTAACGAATGGTACCAAGTAGTGCCGAGAAGGTAGAGAAAACTTTAATGCAGGTCAAACTCTGCCCCCTTGGACCTCCGACATTGGCACAACATATCTATACTTTTAATTAAAATTTTTCATGTTTCAAATTCATGTGGATTAATTATGTCGATCCTTCGTACTTTTTATTAAAAAATTTATTTGCTGGACAATTTATGTTTTTGTTTTTGTTGTTGTACTAGACATTTAAATATTTAATGCTTATTTTTATTTTGATATTATAAGATACAGTGCTACAAATAATGTTGCTTTCAATTTTTTTTGTCATTTCAAATATTATGCCTTGATTAATTTGTTATTTTTATGTATGATTTATATATTATAATGTCGTATCCACGCCATATCCGTATCCTGTATTTTTAAGAATTGTCGTGTCCCGTATCCGTATCGTGTCGTATCCGTGTCGCCGTATCCATATCGGTGCAACATAGGTACTATATGATCTTGTAGTTTGATATATAAAAATATATTGATATAGTTTATAATAAATAGCTTAATTATCATTACTAATTATATTAGCAAATAATTTTGTTATTTATATCATATTACATATTTTAAAAAATAGTTTTATCAATTTATATAATATAAATGATATTAAAATTAACTTTTATTTAAAATATTTTTATATATTTTAATCAGTTTTATTCATCTCTTCTTGGGAGGCTTTATAAATATGATCTAAACTTCTTTATTCATTAGACCCAGTCCTTAGACACTAGATTTGACACCTTCACTTAACACTTTAGTTTTCTTGTTAAATTTCTTGTTATTCCTTTATCAAGAAAATAATGCTCCAACTTGATCCATCTTTAAGTAAATAAAGCTCCAAATTCTTTCATATCTCACTAAATAAATCTTCAAATTAGTCTAACACGCAACATCATCATCATCATAGTTGCTATTATATCAGTATCTTGTAAAATGTAGAAAATTGATGCAATAAAAAATTGTTAATCTATGTTTTGGACTCTTTGTAATTTGGACTTTGTTTTTTTTTTTTAATTTGCAATACCCTATGATGAAAACAACATGTGATCATACTTGGGTTTGGTGCTCTTAAGAAGTTTCACTCGGTTTCCATTTGTATTGGTCTAGCTTCTTTGTGGTTAGTTGAGTATTTATTTTGTGCATGCTTTGTTTATTGGGCTTGGCCCAACTCTTTTTCTATGCTAGCTATTTTTTCTTATGCTGCTGTATGCTTTTCCTCATTTTGCTGTCTCGTTTTTCCCTGCTGTTGGCTGTTCGGTTTTCACCTTACTGTTTTCTTATACTAAGTGCATTAACTCCTCATCAAATGGGCTAACTTGAGAGGCTTCTATTGGCTGTTTGGGTGGCATAATTAAGTAAGCAATTTCTGGCTGGATCAATTTGTTCTGACCTATGTGGATTTAACACTATATATAATCCCTTGAAATTTAAATTTTTGAGGAAACCATTCTCTTTTTTTTTTTTTTTATGTACCAATCAGTCAACACTTTCACTCTCCATTGTTCTTATAGAGCCTGGGGAGGATCCTTTCAGCAAAAGGATGGATGAAAAGAAGAAACGGGTTGACAAGCAAGAAAAGAACCGGCTGCAGAATCTTAAACAAGCTTTCAAAGCGGGTGATTTGCCAAGGTTGTTTTCTTCTTATACTTCTTACTACAAATTCCCTTGATTTTCTTAGCACTACACTTTGCTTCTTAACTGACTATTTTGTTAAAGCTTAACATTATATTTAGTTATTTACAATCCACAATATTTTTTTTACAGTTTTAGTCTAAATAATTTTGTAAAATTTGAACCAAGTTACAAACATTGGGTTGTCTTTGTGATTCTGTAGTCATATCCAGCTTGCTGCAACAGCGTTGCCCATCACTGGAACTCAGAAAGTAATACCAAAGAAAGCCAGTAAAGAAGAGCTTGAGGGTGTCGCTGGAATGGCAGCAACAGCAACAGCAAGCGGTGGAAAATTTGACAAGAAACTTCCAGGAGAGAAACCCGCGAAGCATACTGGAAAACATCGGAAGGTTAATCTTATGGACTAATTAAGCTTTAACTTTGAATAATCTTGTTTTTCTTTTGAACTTCTATGCAAATAAGATGGAAAAGTTTTTTCTTGTTGCCTTTTTTGTCTTTCAGTTTCTCCCTGTTGTGGAAGGAAAGGGAATGGGGGCTCAAGAGAAAGAACAAACAGAGAAAATACTCAACAAATTAATGGCTAGAAGTTCTCATGATATACTTGATGTTGACAGGGTAAGTTCTAGATCATTCAGGTCATATTTTAAATTTGATGCTAAGGTTTCGTTTGGGACGGCTTTCTTACAACTTTTTAGTACAAAAGTTAAAATTTTTGTACGAAAAAGCTACTTTATGGAGTAGTAAGAAAGCTGCCCTAAATGAAACCCTAAGAATAGCAGTAGAGCTAGAAATTTTTTTTAGCGACAACACAAATTAATGCTTCATTTGGGATGGCTTTCTTACCACTTTTTAAAGCAGCTTTCTAGTATAAAAATTAAATTTTTGTACTAAAAAGCTGCTTTACAAAGCAGTAAGAAAGCATCCTAAATAAAGCCTAAGTATCATAAATATTTGTAAATAGATAGATATGTATAATCCTAAACTTTAAGATTTTGGAGGTTACAAATCGAATATTTTTGTAAAAAATATATTATGCAAGTAAAAATATATGATAAATGACCTTAAATCCACCCTTGCTAAGAATCTTTTCAACGTGAAACAGGCTGTTACAATGTTCAATGTGAAGACAGAGAAGCAGAGGAAAAGGGAAAAGGAAGTTTCTTTACCTTCTACATCAAACAAGTTGAAGTCCAAAAAGAAAACTTTCAAAAGTTCTTCCAAGAAGAAACAATAATTGTGCTAATTATTTTGTCCTGTATGATTCAAGAAATTTTTCCTGGCATGCAAAGTTAGAATCTTACTTTTTGTATGCTTTTAACCAGAACCATTGTGTATTATTTGCATTTCTTATATTTATCATCAAGAACTTCATCAGCTTAGCTAAATTTTTCTAATGAGGCATCAAAAAATTTTGCTCTATCATATTTGTTTGTCTTTCATGATCTCCTTTTCAAGAAAGATTATTCTGTGCGGTGTACGAACATATACGGAGGCTAATCTAGATGCGTCATGTCTTTTAATGCACTGTGCATTGGGTGATATGGTGTGCCCGGATTGGCCTCCGGACACATCCGGACAACGCACAGAATAATTTTTCCCTTTTCAGATATTTGTTTACTGTTTTTTAATTGCGATGTCAAAGAATGATATATGAAATTGAAACACTTTTTTTTTTGTCTCAAAAACTGGTTTGTGGGAAAAAAACTTTGGTGATGACATCTTACCAACGTTTGAGCTGAATGAGTCTCAAAATTTGATTTTTTTTTTTTATGTGAGATGGTTACACAATATGGTGATTGTTTTCATGTTTTCAATGAAAATATTTGCTATATGTAAGTTGACATTTGCTCTATGGTTTCAAGAGGGATATGTGGAAGATGATGGTGAATTTTGGAATGTTGTAGAAGATCAAATCTGTTTATCATCAACATTGAAATAAATGTCCCAACAATGTTTATCTGTTTGTTGCTTCTTTCTTTATTGTGCTTGGGTGTGGTTGTATTAGAGGTAAGTTCCTTGGAACATTGCGCCATTGGGGCGTTCCCCTCTTTATATAGGGATTAATTATTCTATGCAGATGTCGAATGCTATCCGGAGATCAATCAGAATGCACAACATCACTTCTTCGCTGGGTGCTGCTCGATACTGATGACGCGGAGTATTCTGGTTGGGCTATGGATGACGTTCTGCATTCGGCGTTCACATAAAATAATTTCTCCTATATAGGAGTGTAGGTATTTTGGTGAGTGCTACGATATTGTGCTTTCTATTTGGGATTATCAGGAATATTTTAGTGAGCGTTGTGGTGCTCGCACTCTGATAAAAAAATGTAGAGCTAGTTCCTCATTTGATGGGCAATTCGTTCACATACACAATACTGCGAGGAGTCAGTCACCTATTTGATAAGCGATTGATTCTTTTTTGCCACATAGTGGCCTTGTAAGTCGCGGTCGTGACCACATCAACCTGATGTTGAATTTATTTATTTATTTTTCATAGGAAAGCTTTTAATGAAAATTTCAGACTTGCTCTTTTGAAAAATTTCCCCAAATGTGAAATTATGGAAGGCAACATTACGGCGTTAGCTTCCGTTAATTTATAACAGGCATGATCTACTTAATTGTAAATTCGAATGGGTGAGCGCGCTGGCGGGCGAACATTCCGTTTTACTTGACGGCAGACACCTCCATATAAACCGTACAAAATGGTCGAACTGACAGGAACCCGGCGGTGAGCAAGCGAGAGAAAAAGAGAGAGCGAACGAAATGGAGCAATAAATCCCAGGGTGGTCGCCCGGAGGATCGTCTTCCCTCCTCATATTCTCCTCCGGCTGAGAAGAAGAGGAAGCGAGGCCGATAGGTCACGAGGCTGCTTTATTCCCAAGGTGCGTGAACACTTTCTCTTGTGCTGGATCACTAGTCTGGGGAATCTACTGAGTTATCCTCTAGCTGATATTGACGTAGGAGTTGGCTTATTCAGGGTTGTCCATTTCTGCATTGTATGTTCTACGTTTTCTTGTTTTGTGATTTTGACGTAAAGGGAAGAATGCGGTGGTCTCGAATCCGTGTAATTTTCTTTTAACATTTGCTGTCTTGGGCGCAAGTAGCTTTATTTTTGGTGAACCGGTTTTCTTATGTTTCATTTGGGGTTGATTTATGGGAAAAGGCGGGGGTTTGGTGCGATTTTTCTTCTCAATTGCATTCCAGGTTGGAATCGAAGTAAGAGGTTCACGATAATGACCCATTTGGCTGGATGTAATTTGAAACACTTAGTGATTTTATAATCTATGATCAGCAAAGGGGCTGTTTCGCTACGATTATGATTTAATTCAAATAGTATTTGGTAAATCTCGTGAATGTAATTCCTGAATCTGTTTGATATTGTAGTTGTTAAATCCAGCTAAATCATGGTAAACTGTAGAATTTAAATAATTATGAGATTAACAAAGAACTTAAGATGATGTTGGAATTTAAGGAATTTAAATTATATTTGTGAGGTGATTTGATTCACTGAAGTTAATTAACATTTTATTTATAAGTTAATAGTATATAATAAGATAATTAGAGAGAGCAATTATGATTTACCTTGTTACACTAGGATTTCCTTAAGTATAATTAAACTAGGTAATTATTGATTAGGATCTTATTGAAACTAATTTGGAGTGAAATGAACTATAATTAGAATACTTATTATGCTTTAATTATGCACATTAAAGTATAGTTATGCCTTAATTAATATAATTGTATGTATAGTTATTATTTAATTAATTAATTGATTTTATGATCTTTATTAAGTATTTAATCAATTTAATTATAAAATAATAAATCTAATTAATTTATTTAAATAGAAATAATTTATTTAAATGAATCAATTTCCTCATCTGCCATCTCATCCTCTTCCTCATCTGCCATCTCATCTTAATCTGTTGGTTGGGAGCTTTGGCTACATTTAAAAGGTTCTCGTTTTTCAGGTAGCCTATAATCAAGATCTTCTCAATGCTGTCATCCTATGCAATTTTACTAGAATAAATAATGTTGGCCAGTTTAATATAAGATAATTAAGTTAGACTAATAGACTCTTCCTCTAATTATTTGCACAGACTAAAAACTATTTCCACTTAAAACTGCCGGCTTTTTGCCACCATCACGAAACAAAGAAGTTAAACATAAATAATGTTGGCCAGTTTAATACGCTTTTTGCCTCCATCACGAAAAAAGGCTTGATAAACAATACGCCCCACCTTCAAACTGTACATATCTTGTAAATCATTCACATGCTCATCAAAGCCATCTTCCAACCCCCCACAAGTCGGGGAAAGGGACTCATGCTGTCAATCTCCATCAAAGCTCTTCAGCCACTGTTAGGGGTTATCATCTTCATAATCTCAACTTTTTTGTCCCTACTTTTTTATGATCCAATCTCTCATAATTGATCTTTCTTCTATTGATTTCATTAAGAAAAATAAATCTCACTAGCACTTTATCTCATCACTGTAGCAGTAGCCTCTGCTGATATTTCCTATGCTTTATTTTATGAAAATTAAAGAAATTCTTTGTTAAGTAGGTTGGCCATCTTGGGGAAGCTTACCAAGAATGGGTTCACCAGCCAATCGTCAGCAAGGAAGGCCCACGCTTCTTTAAAAATGACTTCCTGGAGGTAACCTTTGTGCCTGGTAGACAAAAGCTGCTTATGAAGTAGCTTCGAAACTCTAATTTAAAGTAGTTGATTTGAAGCTAATTAAAAATAAAAAAGCTCAAATTTGTTACTGGAAATAAATTATCAGATACTACAAATTGATAAAAAATACACAAAATGCCCAGGTCTTTTACTCCAGAGTGTGATTTTCTAACTGGTTTGGCTTTCAAATAATCAGCTGTTGACACGAACTGTGTGGTGGGCCATTCCAACCATATGGCTACCTGTTGTATGCTGGTCTTTGGTGACGTCATTCCACATGGGTCAATCTCTATCTGAAATTGCTCTGCTGGTTTTGGCTGGAATATTTATATGGACACTTATTGAGTACATATTGCACCGATTTCTTTTCCATATCAAGACAAAGAGTTATTGGTAGGCATCATTTCTTTGGTTTCTTTCAAGTGGCAGCAACTTAAAAATAATACTTTAATAAGTAGGGTATAAAGCTAATAATTAGTAAATGTGCAGGGCAAACACAGCACATTATTTGCTTCATGGATGCCATCATAAGCATCCAATGGATGGTCTGCGCCTTGTTTTCCCCCCAGCTGTGGCAGCTATTCTTTGCATTCCAGTAAGTCCGATGTATTATCTAAATTCACTTTGTTATTTGAGGCAAATATACTACTACTACTACAACAACATCAAGCCTTTATCCCACTATGTGGGGTCAACTACATGAATACTTTTTCTTCATTGTGTCATGCTAAAAGTTAAATTCTCATTTAAATCTAATAAAAAAGGTCATTTCTAATATTTTCTAACCAAGTCTTTTTAGGTCTACCTCTACCTTTTCTTGACATAAGTCAAATCTAATTCATCTATTTTACTAACCGGATCATCGGAAGGCTACCGTTTTATGTGATCAAACCATCTAAGACGACTCTCTCTAATCATATCTTCCACTGGAGCTACTCCAACCTTTTCACGCATATGCTCATTTCATATCTTGTCTCTAAGAGTAAAGCCACTCATCCACCTAAGCTTCCTCATCTCTGCAACACTTAACTTAATATTATGCTTCTCTTTTAATGGCCAACATTCTAACACCACAAAGCATTGCAGATCTAACCACCATCTTATAGATTTTTCCCTTAAGTTTGAGGGGGGATTTTCTATCACACAACACACCCGATGCATTCCTCCACTTCAACCATCCAACTTGAATTCTACTAAAAATATCCCGATCTATTTCACCATCACTCTGAATCATAGATCGAAGATATCTAAAACGTGTGCTCTTATTAATGACTTGATCACCCAAAGTCACAATCTTCCCATAAGAACTATTATTACCAATGTTTAAAATTGCGTATTCGGGTATTGAGGCGATTTTCATTCTTGAGGCGAGGTGTAAGCCTCAAGGCGTTTTGAGGCGTAAGCCTCAAAATCAAAAGATTGCGTAAACATAAAATGATAATTTTTTTTATATACTAATGAGTAGATAATATAAAACATAAAAAAGCATAAGATATGAAGTGAAATCAAAATATCCTAATAATTAGACAACATGAAATATAGTTCAACTCAAAATTCTATCTTTCTCAAATCTCAGTATTCTTTTCATTAACATATAAATCAAATTTCCAAAAATAAATAGCAATGACATATCACATAAGAACTCATAAGTCATCAGCACTGTCTTCACTAAGGGATTCTTCATTTGAATCATCATTATGATGAACTGCTCTCTCCCCTTCCTCCTCTCCTATAGAGTCCAATGCATGTCAGGCATTTAGTTCAAGATTTATGTAAGTTTTAATATATATAGTGTGAAGCGTAAGCCTCATGCCAGTGAGGTGAGGCTGGCCTCAAGGCGGGCCTCAACCAAGTTGAGGCGCAAGCCTCATAAAAAAACTCGAGGCGTAAGCATTGAGGCGTTTTTTACTGGAATTGCACAAAGGCGGGCCTCAAGGCGAGCCTCATATTGCACAATTTTAAACCATGATTATTACTAAAATTACACTCCATATATTCAGTTTTAGATCTACTCAAACGAAAGCTTTTAGACTCTACGGTTGACCTTCATAATTCAAGTTTACCTTCAACTCCCTCTCTAGTCTTATCAACAAGAAGAATATCATCAGTAAAAAGTATACACTAGGGTACAACCTCTTGCAAATGTCTAGTAAGAACATCCATGACTAAAGCAAAAAAGATATAGGCTTAAGACTTATCCTTGATGTAATCCAATTGAAATAAGAAAATACTTGGTCAAACCACCTTGTGTCTAAACAAAATTAATAGCTCATGTATACATATCCTTAATGACTTGAATATAAACTTTATTAACCCCTTTCTTTTCTAGAACTCTCCATAGCACTTCTCATGGAACTTTATCATATGCTTTCTGTAAATTAATAAATATCATATATAGATCCTCCTTATTTGAGGCAAATATATGAAAGAAAAAATAATGTTTTAAGCTTAACTAAGAATCAAAACTAAGCCATGAAAATTAGGATAATAAGTAGCCTGCACTCCCAAAAGACTTCCAACACAATGGATAGCATTTAAAAAATAAAAATTACAAAACCAGCACCAGCAAAGTGATGAAGAAAGGCTACTTCCAGCATAGGTAGGCAATAGTCACATGGCCCACAGCACATGCATGTATGCACAGAAAAAATATTGACTGAACCACATTGTTTCTGAAGTGTCAATTTTAATGTAGGTATGTTAGACCATTGGGATAAGGAGCCTGATTGGTACTGCCCTTGTTGGCCTTAGTAGGTTGTAGTTTAGCAATGTTTCAAAAATATAAGAACTAGCTTGGTAATTATGGCTGTACATGATTTGAACCTGTGGACCAAGATTGACTGAAAGTTAGGGGTGTCAATTTTGGGTCACGGATTGGGTTCGGATCGAACCCAAAACTGACCCGGTACTATGCGGGTCAACCCAAATCCGACATGTTTTTGCAAACCAGTCAATTTTTTGGACCCTAAACCCAACCCACTTTGGGTTCGGGTCAACCCGACACAACCCGAGGCCGTGAAAAAAATTACTAGTTTTCTATTCAAAAAATCAGTCAATCTCCACTTTTCGGGTAAAAAGCGGGTCAATCTCGGGTTTCTGGGTCAAAAATAGATTTTCGGGTCAATTTTGGGTCAAAGGGTCAACCCGAACCCGACCTGATTTTTGAAACGGGTCGAATTGTTGAACCTGAACCCGACCCGTTTTGGGTCCGAGTTGACCCTAACCCAGAATTTTCAGATCGGATTAGAGTCAGATTTTCGGGTCGTGTTAAATATTGACACACATCAATTCGGATTTGAGATGATCTAGGTTTAGCTGTTAACAGACTGAATTGGATCTTAATTTGGGATATATTTGACAAATTTATCTCAGTTACAATAGAAAATGAAGCTAGACATGACTCATTAGTCATCTAATGGATTTCTATTTAAGCTTGATCGGAGCCAAAACCTAATCCAATGTTTGAGTGACATTCTAAATTACAGCATAGTTAACAGTTCCAGAGTTAATAATATACACGCACTTATTCCATAATTGATTTCTTCCTGAAGTTCTGGGGACTGGCCAAACTCCTAGCAAAGCCGACCGCAGCTCCCGCCCTATTCGGAGGTGGCTTGCTTGGTTATGTGATATATGATTGCACTCACTATTACCTACACCACGGACGGCCATCCAGGAACCCAGCTAAACGTTTGAAGGTGAGAAATATGAGAATCTCTCTTGGTCTTTAACAAATTTCTATGAAGAGGCAGATATCTTACTTGATTTCCTTTGCCAGCGTTACCATATGAACCATCATTTCAGAATTCAAACAATGGGTTTTGGAATCACTTCTTCCATTTGGGATGGCGTGTTCAGAACATTACCTCCTGCATTGAAGGCCTGGACAGATTCGCCAACTTTGTACTGATTACAATGGAAGGTATTCTTCTCACCTGGTAAGGCTCACTCCTATGAATTTTTTCCCTGCTTAATTTTCTTAAGAGCAGTTTGGTTTGGTAATACATTAATTTGAAAATCCTCATTTTTCACTTTCATTTTCTCTATAATTGTTAGAGTTTCTGAACTGAGTTGTGCAACTTATAATGGAGTTGACGCCACCATTAAGATTATGTCAACACATTTCAATCTAGTGGTTACAATTAACTCTATATAATTCTCTTCTATCTAGATTTTTCCAAAGATTATTCTTGAATATATTTCTAGGATTCTTTAATGATTAGTGTAGAATGTGAGCTCTAAGTATAAAGCATAAATGTGTTTAATTTCCACGCCCTCTTAAATTTGATTTTGCAACTCTGAACAAAGTTAGCATTGTGATAAAATCTTTACGTTTGAGTGTCTTGGTGAAAATGTCGGCAACTTGGTTTTGAGTTTTCACATGCTCAACTTGCACTTTCTTCCTTGCGATGAATTGAAAAATATTACAAGCTTATTAATTTATTTTGCATCTTGTGATAATGTTGCATTACAACCTCATTAGGAATCAAATCAAATGCATCATTTTCAATGTAAGGTACCAAATAATTATTAAGCCAATCATCACTCATCCTATTACGCAATCGATGTTTGATAATTTTCATTGCAGAAAATACTCTTTTCACTGTAGCAGTGACAACTGACAAAGTTAATGCTAAAGTGATAATTCTGTAAATCAATGGATACACTCGATCCTTCTTGACCTTAACAAATTTTTTTGCAAGATCATCAATACTGTTTAGAGAGGAGAACTCATTATCGATATGCATATCAATGATATAAGTTAACAGTTAACTTTTAAGTGTCATAAGGTGAACGGGAGAAAAATTACTTGGATATAATTCTGCTAGACGTATCAATTTCCTCTCATCATAAGCATTGAAGGAATCAATTGGATTTAAGCATGCCATACAAAGAAGCAACTCAATACTATGTTCAGAAAAATGATTATTAAGCTCTTGAAGTTACATGTCAACCACAGTGTAGAATATCTCAGCACGATAATGATATAAGTTAGATATTTCTTCACGTTTTCGTATTGATGGACGATGAGTTTTATATGTATCATTCATATTTGGAACTATAACTTCAAAAACACCACAAAAATGTGACACTTCCTCTAGTAAAGCAGTTCATTTATTCTCCCTCAGAATATGTAGTTGTTTGTTTGGATATTTTCACCAATTTCATTGCATTTTCTATGTCTTGATCTTTTCTTTGTGATGATTATGATAACTCATGTGTAATCCCCAAGATATCAATCATCAAATGCATTATAAAAATAAAATCAAAAGATTTCATTATATCAGTAAGAACACCTGCTTCAACTGATTGTTGATCATATACCCCTTCTTCTTTAACAATCTCAAGCATCTCAATTACTCTAACCAATCAGCATATTCTTCAAACCATTTAGGGTTAAACTTGTGTACAATATTCTCAAATAATGTTTGGGGGAATTGATGACTTCTCGGTTGATGAGGTCCCTTTAAAAGATAAGTTCTTCGAATTTTGTCCCTATCATTAATATTATAACTCCATATTGAAGGTCGGAGTCTAGGATCAGCTGGGAGATCTGATGAGGTCATCGATAGGATATTTCGGCACGTCTATCAGAGACGACCACGGAGATCGACGACCACGATTGCGAGCCTTTATTATTGATTTTACTTGTACCATCAGTTTTTTATGTTATGCTTTTATTTTCGTAGTTTCCCATTTTACCCCTGAGGGTAGTAGTTGCTTTTGTAGCCCCAAGGGGCATTTTAGACTTTTGCACTTTATTTTCTTTGGAGCCTATTTATATGGCCATTGTATCTTGTATGAGGACTAATGAATTATTACATGAAAGTTTTTTCTACTTTGATCTCTTTGTGAGTTCGCCACTCCCTAGTTCTCTTTGTGAGCTCTTGGGAGAATATTTTGGATCTCTTTGTGAGTTCCGACGTGGTTACGATATCTCTTTGAAATATTGAAGAGGAGTGCGCAAGGTTAGGAAATCCATTTTTTTTTATCCACTGTTTTCTTACTGTTTCCCAACCCAGAATTTTCCCCTTTCCCCATTTCCCTTGCCGCTGGCCTGGCCAGAAAAATTGGCCACGGGCCAATAGCCCATCCCGCTCCCAGCACTGCCGTCTCCTTTGTTTTCCCTTCCCAGCACGCTCACGTGACATCCCACCCGCCCCCAGCTCACAGAATGCCGCTGGATTGTTCCCCGTGGATCCAATGTGCTGGAATCTCAAATTACCCCTAATTAAGCTGATTTCCTAATTGGGTTTCCTCTAATTAAGAAAGACATTTAAGGGGATAAATGCTTCTTTTGAAATTCAAATTCTATTCCTCCTTAATAACTCAATTTGGGAGTTACTTAAAATATAATCAAGGCTGAAATTACAATTTCAGATTTGATTG